AAAGGAGGGGGGGGGACTGGGGGGAATCCATGTTTTGCTGATGTAGAGGTTTTCCTCACTGCTCATCAGTGCTGTCACTGCCTTCAGCTGCAGTCGGGGCCCTTGCAGACAGCAGCATCTGGCTGTAGCTAAGGTGGAGCTGGGTCAGGTGGTGTCATACAGGGAATTGTCTGACAAAGTATTTACATGGAAGCCTGTTTATTATGGCTGCACCATTAACATATTCTAGATACAAGCCTGAAAACACCAGTGGATTGGAAGGGACAACTGGAACAGTAATATAGGAAGTATTTAGATTTGTGCCTTAAACAACTGTAGACCCAGCTGAAAACCAGTGGTCTGCTGCCGTCACTGGTTGAAGGTTTCAGTAAGAAGTGCACATTATTGCACATGTAACCACTGATACAACAGAGGAGTCCTGGAGGAGACCAGAGAAGTCAAACCCCTTTGACTTTCAGCGGCTGTTGTTACATTTTAAGTAAAAGAAATAATAGTAAATAAAAACTGAGATGGCCACTTAAGTAAAATATAAAAATGTATGTGTTCAAAATGCAGGGAGCGTTATCCTCTTATAGACCTGATTATATTGCTACATGAATGCATCAATGTACAGAAAGGGCTAGGTTTACACTTTGTCTTTGGGAGGGGGTCCCCAGTGGGATGCTACACTTTGGCTATTATTTCTTTAAAGAGAGCGAGCTACAGCACCAGCTCATGTTCACACACTGGCAGCATCATGTCAGCATGATTTGTTTGCTCATGTGTGTTGAATCACAAGTGGGCGTCACCACAGGATTCTCCAGGCTTGTGTGAAAGTGAAATGTGATGTCCACTATTAACTATGAACTGTGGGTTTGGGAAGTAACATCATGTTGGAGGAACAGTAGATTTGTTTAATGCCCACATGAAGACACACACATCCTTCACTGTGACCTACATAAAATGCATTTGCAACATTTTCGGACAAAAAGAAATGGAACAGGAACAGCTAGTGCCGGCATGACAAGTAAATACAAGAGCATCATCTAATGAGTGCAGTGATGGCAAGATGAGATCCATATGATTCAGCTCAGCAGGCCATCGATCGATCACATTGTGCAGGTGTAGTGAGCCGGAGTTGCAGGTGTCAGGAAACAGAAAACTTAGAGGTGGCAGCGGTCGAAACCCATCTAATCACAATGAGGACTGATGCTAGTGGTGCTAATACCAAGTATCACTAAACCCAAAGCTCCTCTCAAGCTGATTTAATGTATTTGATCATGAACCAAATTACTGAACACATTAAAACGTCACAACCTAGGCCCTTCAACTTTGTCGGCCCAAAATACCAAAATAAGTACATCTTCAGTCCTAATATCTCGTGCAAGCCTTTTCCAGAGTGTTGGACCGACTGTTGCAAAAGCACGATCAGCTTTGAGCTTTAAATTGGATTGTGACAGCTGAATGATTAAGTGACCTACTTGGAAAATAAGGGTGAAGCAGCTGAGTTAAATATGAGGGTGACAATCCATTTAGTGCTTTATAAACAAAAAGGAGTAGTTTAAAATTGATTCTTAATTGGACGAGGAGGCACTGGAGTGAAGCCAATATAGGAGAAATGTGGTCTCTTTTCATGTATTAGTTAGGAGGCAGGCCACTGCATGCTGGACTAGCTGGAGTCCAGGAGGAGATGACTTGTTGACTCCTGCATAGAGCATGTTACAGCAATCCAACCTGGAACTAAGGAAAGTATGGATTTCTTCCTCAAGCTTGTTGAAAGATAAAAAAGGCTTCACACTTGCTAAAAGTCTTGGCTGAAAGACGCTTGCTTTGAAGATGGTCCTGATTTACAGAGGTGGAAAGTAACATTTACTCGAGTTCTGTACTTGAGTACAGTTTTGAGGTGTGTGTACTTGAGCATTTTCATTTTCTGCTACTTCATACTTTGACTCCCCTACATTCTACAGAAAAATGGTATGTTTTTATTGTATTGTGTTTTTACTCACTACATGTATTTGATTACTTTAGTTACTTTTCAGACTGAGATTAATTAACCAGAACATAGTAGGCTCATCAGAGTTAACTGATCCCTGGTGGGAAATCCACCAGCTACCCAGCACTAGTTAAAGTACTTCAAAGTATAAGCATATAAGGTAGTTAATATTAGCTCTACCTTTACCTGCTGCAGCATTAAAGTGATGTACACAATAATACACTACTAATGGTAGTTCAGTAATATCAGCTGCATTAAAGTGAACTGTGCCATTCTGCACAAGGAGTACTTTTACTTTTGGTACTTTAAGGATACTTTATGCTAATAGTTTTGTACTTTTATTTAAGTAACTATTTGAATGCAAGACATTCAATTGTAACTGAGTATTTTTACACTGCGGTATTGCTAGTTTTTAAAGTAAACGGCACTTCTTCCACCACTGCTGATTTGCTTCTCTAACTTGAGCGCATCGCCCAGTAACACCCCAGGTTTTCCACACGAGGTTTGTTATATTCAGATAGATTACAGAGATCAAGATGCAAATCCTTGTTTGAACCTGAGCCCTTGGACACAACACATGCATCTTGTTTTCATTGAGATGTAGAAAATACAGTTTTAATGACATAACGTTTCCTCCATCGCCACCTTCAGGACGAGCTTCCCAGTTTCAGCTCCACTACTGAAGGATCTAAGAACAAATAAATTGGGTTTATCTGTCTTGATTATGAGGAATTTTGCTGTTAATAAAAGCCTCTACTGCCTCTTCAGAAGCGTCACTGCGACAGTCAGAGGTGAGAGCCTCCATCTGAAACTGTGATATGCTCTCAATGCATTTGCATGATATTTGCACATCCATTTCACACAGTATCATGCAGTCTGAGCCCGGCCTGGTGTTCAGGAGGATGCCCTGCTGTGACAGTCGCACACGCTGCTGCGTTATATTTCCATCCCTGCGTGGGCGAGACAGAACTACTGAGGTTCTGTTTATGAGCTCGCTGGAGGCTCGGCCAAAAACGCAACATAAAAAAGGAAAGAGGTGAGAAAATAACAGAGGGAGGGATGAAAACAGAAAGAGCCTTCCTGCATCTTCCCCTGTAATCTGTGAGAGGGAGGAGGAGAGCCGAGCCTCGGGCGGCACGACAGCCGCAATCCGTAGAAGAAGAGAAAAATCAAGTATCACTTCTTTAGCTGAATGTTCAACGTGAAAGCAGCTGAGGAGAGCAGGAGGGTTTGTGCTGT